TGTCCACATAGCCATGTGCCACTGTCTTTCAACTTTGAAACCCTCACCACACACACACTGTATGCACAGAACTAATCTATATACAATTAATGAGTCGTTTCTCTCTAGTATATATGAAAAAATGCATTGCACCATCTCCAGCAGCCCTTCATTCTGCACAAATGCATCTGTTGTTGGACCAAATAAAATTTGTCAATATTATTAACTCAGTTTTAATGATTTGACTGATTCAGTTTATCCAAATAATGTCAAATTATTGGCTTTGCTCCTTTTTAACAATAGTGCTGCCTCTGTGGACTTATTCATTATTCATATATACATATTATATATATTCACTCAGGTATTGTCTCTTAAACAAAAACATGAACATGACTGAGATAAACTGCGAAGCCACAACTGTTGCGTGCTGATAGCATGCAGTGTAATTTTTTATATCTTGTGTATAAAACTCAACATGAGTTTAGTGTAACTCAACTRCAACTAACTGCAACTGATTTACACTTTTAATAACACAGCACTTACATGGGGTATAAACCCATACAACAAAATGCAGTTCAACATAAGATTGAATGGGAARGGCCTGAGCCTCTCACAGAGTTCATCAGTTTTAATTTTTTTTATGAGRTCAGGCTTAATGTGACAAATACTGCATAATGTTTTTGTGTGTAGTTAATCACTGGGTCATCTGTTCCAGCTCACTGATTGGACTGTTTCAATTCCCATGTTCACGAACAYWTKATCTGTTGCTGCTATTAAAGTATATAAACTGATGAAAGAATAACAGTTCAGGTAAGTCAGCGAAGGACGTCTTTGTTTTCTAATAATGTAAGAGAAGATTTTTGTCATGGTGGATAATGTTTCAGTAGTTGCTATGTTTACTCTGTCAGRGTTGAGTGGCACARTGCATTACAGAGTCACTCTCTTCATCCTCACTTTGTTGTGTTACTGYGTGATCTGGCTGATWAATGTGACCATCATCGTTACGATCATCGTGGATAAAAACCTTCATGAACCCATGTACATCTTCCTCTGTAATCTGTGCATTAACGGACTGTATGGGACTGCAGGCTTTTATCCAAAGTTCCTCAGCGACCTCCTGTCTTCCTCTCATGTCATCTCTTACGCTGGATGTCTCCTGCAGGGTTTTGTGCTGCACTCTTCAGYYGKTGCAGAKTTSTCTATTCTTGTATTAATGGCGTATGACAGATATGTGGCTATATGTCAGCCTCTGATGTACCACTCAGTGATGACGAAGGGAAAAATAGGCCTGTTTGTGTTTTTTRCGTGGYTCATACCTCACTATCTGGTGMTGGTGRGCACTATAACAACATCAATTAYCAAAATATGTGGCTCACATATTCCAAAAATCTACTGTATTAATTATTTGGTGAACAGACTTGCTTGTACTCCCCCAATAGCAAGTGTCATTGTTCCA